TAGCCAGGTGTGGTGGTGCGCACCTGTAATCCCAGCTACTCAGGAGGCTGAGGCAGGAGAATTGCTTGAACCCAGGAGGCAGAGGTTGCAGTGAGCTGAGATCATGCCACTGCATTCCAGCCTGGGTGACAGAGCAAGACTCAGTGTCAAGGAAAGGAAAGGAAAGGAAAGGAAAGGGGAGGGGAGGGGAGGGGAGGGGAGGGGAAGGAGGAAGGAAAAAAGAAAGAAAGGAAAGAAAAGAAAGAAAGAAAAGAAACAAAACAAAAAGAAAAGGAAGAGTCAGGTACAGTGGTTGACACCTGTAATCCCAGCACTTTGGGAGGCCAAGGCAGGAGGATCACCTGAGGTCAGGAGTTCAAAACCAGCCTTGCCAACATGGCAAACCCCATCTCTAGTAAAAATACAAAAAAAAAAAGCCAGGACACAGTAGTAGGTGTCTGTAGTCCCATCTACTCGGGTGGCTGAGGCAGTAGAAGCACTTGAACCTGAGAGGTAGAGGTTGCAAGGAGCCGAGATTGCACCGCTCCACTCCAGCCTGGGCAATAGAGTAAGACTCCATCTCAAAAAGAAATGAATAAACAAAATTAAAAAAAAAAAAAAGAAAGAAAGAAACTACAAATAAGGTTTCTCCAGGCTTCTTTTATATTTTTGTCACAAGTGATGCAATACTTCAAGCAGCTCAATAAGAAAACTGAAGGATGATATAATAGTGACAGTGATCTTCACTATTGTATTGTCCTTATAAGCAATTCCATCATTCTATTCTTTTCTATTTTAGTTTATTTTACCACAGTTGGACATAACTGATGAGTAATGTTGAAATAATTGCTAAGGAAATAACATAGCAAAATGTTTCAAACTTTAGAAAAATAGATCACTAAAATAGTATCATGCTTCTTAGATTATAAATGGGACCAATTAACTCAAACGATAACAGCAAAAACAGAATGAGTTTCATTCAATTAAAAAATATAAGTAGGCCAGGCACAGTGGATCAAGCCTCTAAACTAGCATTCTGGGAGGCAGAGGTGGAAGAATTGCTTAAGTCCAGAAGTTCAAGACCAGTCTGGGCAACACAGCAAGACCCCATCAGTACAAGTTTATATAGATACATATATACACACACACACACACAAATATATATATATATAAATTTTCTCTTTGTTTATCTAAGTTAGGAAAAAAAATTTTTTTTGAGATAGGATCAAAAGAGATCAACCTGCACTCCAGCCTGGAAGACAACGCGAGACTCCATCTCATTTAAAAAAAAAAAAAAAAAAAAAGGACTGTGTCAAAAATAAACTAAAAAGCTAAATTTGGGTCCACTGAGAGGTAACATTCTATTTTGTTTATTATTTGGACCATATATCATTTATACTTCTTTTATATTCTAAGGTTTCCTGTTCACATTTCATATATGATTCTCAAACTCCATATAGCTTGATTTTTGTTTTGTTGTTACAGACAGGCTCTTACTCTGTCATCCAGACTGGAATGCAGTGGCATGATCATAGCTCACTGCAGCTTCAAACTCCTGGGCTCAAGCGATCCTCCCACTTTAGCCTCCCAAAACTGAGACTACTGGTGTACGACCATGTCTGGGTAATTTTTTATTTATTTATTTTTGAGAAGGAGTTTCACTCTCGTTGCCCAAGCTGGAGTGCAATGGCACAATCTCGGCTCACCACAAACTCTGCCTCCCGGGTTCAAGTGATTCTCCTGCCTCAGCCTCCCGAGTAGCTGGGATTACAGGCATGCACCACCACGCCCAGCTAATTTTGTATTTTTAGTAGAGATGGGTTTTTCCATGTTGGTCAGGCTGGTTCGAACTCCCAACCTCAGGTGATCTGCACACCTTGGCCTCCCAAAGTGCTGGGATTATAGGCAGGAGCCTCCGTGCCCGGCCTAATTTTTCATTTTTTGTACAGATGGATCCTCATTATGCTGCCTAGGCTGGTCTCAAACTCTTGACCTCAAGCAATCCTCTTGGGTTGGTCTCCCAAAGTGCTGGGATTACAGGAGTGAGCCACCGCACTGAGCTTATATAACTTGGTTTTTGATTTGACAATATCCATCTTTTAATAAGATGGTTTAGCCCCTTTCACTGTATTATGACTTCTAAAATAACTGGATTGGTTTTCTCTTTTTCACTTAAGAGTTTCCAGTTGTTCTAATTTTTACCGGCCTTTCCCCACTCTTTCTTTCTTTTTTTTTTTTTTTTTTTTTTGAGATGGAGTCTTGCTCTTGTCACCCAGGCTGTAGTGCAGTGGCACGATCCCTGCTCGCGCCAATGTCTGCTTCCCGGGTTGAAGTTTCTCCTGCCTCAGCTTTCTGAATAGCTGGGATTACAGGCATCCACCACCACACCCAGCTAATTTTTGTACTTTCAGTAGAGATGGCATTTTGCCATGCTGGTCAGGCTGATCTCGAACTCCTGACCTCAGGTGACCAACCCGCCTCGGCCTCCCAAAGTTCTGGGATTACAGGCCTGAGTCACCAAGCCCAGCCTCATTGGTCTTTTTTTTTTTTAGTCTAATCCAATACATTTAATTTTTTTTCTTTTCCATTTTCTTCTTTTTAAAAGTCTAGAAATTACACATATTACTTTCTTTTAGCATTTACTCATTACATGTTACCATTTATATTTAATGCAACAGTATTTCTTCTTAACAACGAAAGGAATTTAGAGGCCAGGCGCAGTGGCTCATACCTGTAATCCCAGCACTTTGGGAGGCCAAGGGGGGCAGATCACTTGAGGCCAGGAGTTTGAGACCAGCTTGGCCAAGATGGCAAAACCTCATCTCTACTAAAAATACCAAAACTAGTCAGGTGTGGTGATACACACCATCTGTGGTCCCAACTACTAGGGAGGCTGAGGTATGAGAATCTCTGAGCCTGGGAGGCAGAGGTTGCACTGAGTCAAGAGTGTAACACTGCACTCTAGCCTGTGAGACAGAGAGACACTGTCTCAAAAAAAAAAAAAAAAAAAAAAGAAAGAAAAAGAAAAAGAAAAAAAAGAAAGGATTTTAGAACACAATTCAGATCAACTGGTAACTGATTCACATGTTGGATTATTTTTCAGTATTTTATTTTTATTGTTTTACATCCAACTGGGCATCATTACTATTTTATACAAAGAATGTTTGTTTAAATTTATGTGTCTATCTCTTATTTCTTCCCAAAACTGTTTCTCCCCATTTTCTCCCATCCAGTTAATGGTATCATCACACAGCCAGTGCCTCAGTATAAAACCTTTGAGATCATGCTATTAGCTTTTTCTTATGCCCATAATCCAATTTAGCAGCAAATTCTGTTTTAGCTACAACTTCCAAATATATAGCACCCCAGTGAGCAGTCTGTCTGACAGCATCTCTCACATGCTCCCCATTACCCCGACTTCCACCCAGCCCGGCTCACTGCTGTCCTGCACACATGACACTCTGGCCTAAGGTTCACGACACAGGATATACCATCTGGCCAGAATATTCCACTGACACATGATTCAAATCTGTGTTTATTAAACTACTGACTTCAAAAAGGCCCTACCACAAAGCGCACACTACATCTCATTCTTTTCTACCAATAGAACACAGCCATGGTATTAGAGCTATATCTCTAACACAGATGGAACTGCCAACATCGTAGCTGCCAAATTAATACGTATTGAATAAATACATAATATATGATGAAAAGAAGATAACTGAAATGATATAGAAGGAAGAGTCAAATGACATTCATTTGACAAAACTGAGAGAGGCAAGGATTAAGTTTTTGGAAGAAAACAAAGATCATTTAGCTGTTATCTGCTGGTGTGTAATAATATATACATCTGAGGCAAGCAGGCCAGCTCTTCTTAGTCACTTCCAAAGTTCTGGTAACTCTAAAAATGTATTCCTGAAAAATTTCAAAGATGTCAATATGTGAACTATCTCCCTAGGATCCAATTTCTCCCTGGGATTATAGATTCCTATATACTTATTAACTCACCTAGGTGGCTCTGACTTGGGGACTCTTCCTCTAATATCCACAGCACCTCTCCATGCTCCAACTTGCAAATCACCACTGGTTTGGTAATACAATACCCTGTGAATGAAAATGACACAGGACGTGGGCCAGATAGCCTGTGGAGGACAAAGCTGTGTCTGCACAAAAATAGGTCCACTTGAGCATTTCATTACGGAAAACACCACAGATATTTTTTACAGTGCCCAAAAGGGATCAATCAAGCTTCAACTCCTGAGTTTCAAGCTTTAACTCATAATCATACAAAGAAACCATCTGCAATCAGCAGCTAAAAAGGAAATAAATGTTATTTGGAGTTTTAAATTACACAATCCTTACCCACTGAGAGGAGGAGGCTGTAGTTCTCCAGCATCACGTCTCGTCTCTGTACAGAGGAGGAGGTTGTAGTTCTCCAGCATCACATCTCTGTACAGGGTCCTCTGGGCAGGGTCCAGATGCTGCCACTCTTCCTGGGTGAAGCCCAAAGCCACATCACTGAAGGACACTGATCCCTAGAACAGTACGTTTCATTCTATAGTGATCAGAAGTGGAGAACACACAACATGTATGAGATCTAACACCTTGTCATGTTCACTGTTGATAGCTGAAGAGAAAATGCTACATAAGATGCCTACTATTAATATTATACATTGTAGGAAAATGAGAAATCCTGGTATGAGGACTCTGCTGGTATATTGATTCCTTTTTTTTTCAGACAGGGTCTCACTTTGTCACTCAGGCTGGAGTGCTGTGGCATGATTACAACTCACTGCAATCTTGACCACTGGGGCACAAGCAATTCTCCCACCTCAGCCTCCCAAGTAGCTGGGACAACAGGCACACGCCACCACACCCAGCTAATTTTTTATTTGTAGAGACAAGATCTCACCATGTTGCCCAGGCTGGTCTTGAACTCCAGGCTCAAGCTATCCTCCTGCCCTGGCCTCCCAAAGTGCTGGGATTACAGATGTGAACCACTATGCCCAGCTTACTTTCTTAATTCATACAAAAATTATATGAGGTCCCGCTAGTGATAGATTCAGGAGGTAGATAAGGGGGGGTCCCCGGAGAATCTCCGACCAACCCCACAAGTGTTTACACCAGATGCTTTTCTGCAGATAAGGGAATCTGCCCAGGGTCTTGTCTGCACATGCCTACAACAGACTGAGGACCCACCTGCGTACTGGGAGAATGAGGTGGAGGCAGGGGAAGTTTGAGCCTTGTGCAGGGGGGAGGAGCCTGGCCTCCTAAGATCCTGTGTGGTGGCCTGGTAGTCAATCTGTGAGGTGGCAGCCTTTTAGCAGAATTGATTAAAAAAGAAAATTGATTTTAAAAAAAAACCTAGGCTGAGCATGGTGGCTCATGCCTGTAATCCCAGCACTTTGGGTGGCCAAGGCAGGCAGATCACTTGAAGTCAGAAGTTCAAGACCAGCCTGGTCAACGTGGTGAAACCCTGTCTCTACTAAAAATACAAAAAGTAGTCAAGCATGGTGGTGCGCACCTGTAATTCCAGCTACTAGGGAGGCTGAGACAGGAGAATCACTTGAACCTAGGAGGTGGAGGTTGCAGTGAGCCAAGATCACGCCACTGCACTCCAGTCTGGGTGACAGAGCTAGACTCCTGTCTCAAAATATAGGTAATAAATCATTTTTCCTTTTAGAGGCCAGGTCTTGCTGTTTTGCCCATGCTGGAGTACATTCACAGGCATGATCATAGCATGCTATAGCCTCAAATTCCTGGGCTCAAGCAATACTCCTGCCTAAGCCTCCCAAGTACCTGGGGCTCCAGGAAGGTTACCCAGGCTGTAGTGCAATGGCGCTATCTCAGTTCACCGCAACCTCCACCTCCCAGGTTCAAGCAATTCTCCTGCCTCGGCCTCCTGAGTAGCTAGCGTTACAGGGGCGCGCCACTAGGCCTGGTTCACTTTTGTATTTAATAGAGACGGGGTTTCATCATGTTGGTTAGGGTGGTCTCAAACCCCTGACCTCAACCCGCCTCAGCCTCCCAAAATGCTAGGATTACAGGCTTGAGCCACCGCACCCAGCCCCTGCTTTTTTTTTTTTTTGAAACACGGTCTTGTTCTGTCATCCAGGCTGGAGTGCAGCAGCACGAACACAGCTAACTGCAGCTTCAACCTCCTGGGCTCAAGCAATCTTCTCACCTCAGCCTCCTGAGTAGCTAGGACTACAGATGCATACCACCATCCCGTTAATTTTTTTGTCTTTTCACAGAGACAGGGTTTCACCATGTTGCCCAGGTTAGTCTCTAACTCCTGGGCTCTAGCAATCTGCTGGCCTCAGCCTCCCAAAGTACTGCGATTACAGGCATAAGTCGCTGCACCGGGCTGATTTTTAAATTTTTGGAGAGATGGGGTCTCACTATGTTACCCAGGTTGGTTTCAAACTCCTGGGCTCAACTGATCCTCCCACCTTAAGCCTCCCAAAGTGTTGTGATTACAGGTATAAGCCACCTTGCCCAGCCTGGCTGTTGTTCTTAAGTTGCTTTTATAAAAGGTGGAGAAGGTAAGCTGACATTTGGTTCTGGGGGGAAAAAAAAAAAAAGGTGGCCTGTAATCCCAGCTACTCATGAGGCCGAGGCAGGAGAATCGCTTGAACCTGGGAGACAGAGGTTGCAGTGAGCCGAGATTGCACCATTACACTCCAGTCTGGGCGACAGAGCAAGACTTCGTCTCATAAAAAAAAAAAAAAAAAGGCGAAGGAGATCCACTGAATTTCTATTTAAACGGGAAAAAAGGGGCCGGGCACAGTGGCTCACGCCTGTAATCTCAGCACTTCGGCAGGCTGAGGCGGGCGGACCACGAGGTCAGGAGTTCAAGACCAGCCTGGCCAATATGGTGAAACTCCGTCCACTAAAAATACAAAAATTAGCTGGGCATGGTGGCGCATGCCTGCAATCCCAGCTACTTGGGAGGCTGAGGCAGGAGAATTGGTTGAACCAGGACCCAGGAGGCGGAGGCTGCAGTGAGCCGAGATTGTGCCACTGCACTCCAGCCTGGGCTACAGAGTGAGACTCCATCTCAAAAAAAAAGGGGGCGGGGGTGGGGGAGTGGGGGGGCAGCTGTGATGGCTCATGCCTGTAATCCCAGCACTTTGGGAGGCTGAGGTGGGCAGATCATGAGGTCTGCAGATCGAGACCATCCTGGCTAACACAGTGAAACCCCGTTTCCACTGAAAATACAAAAAACTAGCTCCACATGCTGGCTGGCACCTGTAGTCCCAGCTACTTGGGAGGCTGAGGCAGGAGAATGGTGTGAACCTGGGAGACAGAGCTTGCAGTGAGCTGAGATCACGCCACTGCACTCCAGCCTGGGCGACAGAGCAAGACTCCATCTCAAAAAAAAAGGAAAAAAAGGTATGTCAAAAACAAAAATTATAAATGGGCTTATCTTACTAGATATTACTGTTTATTATGAACTCCTCTAATAAAAAGAAAAATACTCCAGTGAAAAGAAAAAGTCCCCAAACAGAGTTAAATAGTGTCCTATGCCGGGCGTGGTGGCTCATGCCTCTAGTCCCAGCACTTTGGGAGGCCGAAACAGGCAGATCACCTGAGGTCAGGAGTTCCAGACCAGCCTGGCCAACATGGTAAAACCCTGTATCTAGTAATAATAGAAAAAAATTAGCCAGGCACGGCTACTCGGGAGGCTGAGGCAGGAGAATTGCTTGAACCAGGGAGGCAGAGGTTTCAGTGAGCCAAGATCATGCCATTGCACTCCAGTCTGGGGGAACAACAAGGAAACTCTGTCTCAAAAAAAAAAAAAAAAAAAAAAAAGTGTCCTAATATATGGTCAAGTCCCAAAGGATGATCAACTTTTTTTTTTTTTTTTGAGACAGAGTCTCGCTTTGTTATACAGACTGGAGTGCAGTGGCACAAACATGGCTCACTGCAACCTCTACCTCCCAGACTCAAGTGATCCTCCCGCCTCAGCCTCCCAAAGTGCTAGGATTACAGGCATGAGCCACTGCACCTACCCAGCCAATGATCAACTTATTAAATATGGTTGACATATTTAATATTTAATTATAAATGATTATAAATTATAAATCCTTTATAAATTATAACAGAATAAGTTGGAAGGCTCCCTAGGAAACATACTCCAGGAAAAGGACACATTTGGTACAAAGACAAAGGTGGTGTTATGACTAGTACATCCAGCAAGAAGGTAAGTGGAGCTGGAGCATAGTGATCAAGAGGCTGAGAAGGAAGTGAAGTCAGAGATGTAACGGACCACATAACCGACTGGTGGAATTTTGGCTTTTACTCAGTAAAAAACGTAGATGTTGGGCAGAGGATTGCTGTTTAGCAACCTGACTCATCCTACACAGGCACTCTAAATGCTAAGCCAGGGGCCAAGGTCTGAGCAGCAACAAGACTGCTCTGCAACGGTTGCTGTAATCCAGGCAAAAGATGTCATGGAGAGGATTGCAAAAGGTCAGACTCTGTGGATATATTCCGGATGTATGCCCCAGAGGTTTTTCTGACAAATAAGATGTGTAAGACAAGAAAAAAACAGGTCAAAAATAATTCCAAGGGGTCTGCTATCAAACAAGAAGGCGAAGGAATGCCCCAGAGGTTGTGGGTTTGGGAGAGAAAATCCAAGAGGCCAGTTTTAATCATGTTGAGCTTGGGTCTATAAAATACTCAAGCAGAGATGTGGAGTGGACAGTTAATATATGCATCCAAAGTGTAAGAAGAAATCTGAGCTGGAGAGATTACCAGGAGGGATCAGGCCCCAGAGAGTACTGCTGACAAGACACTGCCAAGGGAGAGGCCTCGGCCAGACAAAGTACAAGTGATAACAAAAGGAGGCAGCCAAATGCCAAGGTAAATAGGGGCAGGTCCCCAGTGCAACCTCCAAGCCAAAGACAGTTTAAAGCCTGAAAGCCAAGATATAAGTTAAATCCTCAGACCAGACTGAGAACTTGTCTTCCTCTTTGGCATGCTTTCCTCTAATCCCCGCTTTTCATCTATTTTATATATAGCTACCCTTTCCTAATTGGGGTTTTTTTTTTTTTTTTTTTTTTGAGACGGAGTCTCGCTGTCACCCAGGCTGGAGTGCAGTGGCGCGATCTCGGCTCACTGCAAGCTCCACCTCTCGGGTTCACACCATTCTCCTGTCTCAGCCTCCCGAGTAGCTGGGACTACAGGCGCCTGCCACCACGCCCGGATAATTTTTTATATTTTTAGTAGAGACGGGGTTTCACCGTGTTAGCCAGATCAGGAGATCTCGTGATCCGCCCACCTCGGCCTCCCAAAGTGCTGGGACTACAGGCGCGAGCCACTGCGCCCGACCTCTCCTAACTGGTTTTCTACACTGGCATGCCCACCATTGAGTGGTGTCTTCACTTTAAC